CAAATTTGGCCTAAATAAGTTGAAGCATATTTGTTCAACAAAGATTTGGTGAGCTGAGTGCAAAACTGCATTTTTCCACTCATAAAAGGGAATCTGGTCAGACAAATATGCTGGTTTACATTACTGGAGACATTCTGCAAAAGAAAAAGCCGTTGTTTCATTGAAATTTACAAATAATATCACCAAACTGGATAGAAAATAAGAATAACAGAGCAAGCTTATATAACACATGCTGGTTGAATCACCTGAAAAGGTCACACAATTCCCTCTGACCCCTCGTTGGAAAGGTCTGAGCCTCTAGGTTCCAATGATGCCGTCCATTAGGGGGTGTGGCTAAAATCGAATACCTGCTGCTTCATTACATTAATTAGTACCACATATCAGGTGGAATTTTTAAATCTCATTTTATTTGTTTACACAGCTGTAAAACAAAAAGTACTTATTTTGAGATATGTTTTAGAAATGTTAAAGCCGCATTTGAAAGGCCTGTGGATGAAACACCATGTGACTGTGTTTTGGCCATTTCTATAAATAGATAAACATGAGCAGGTGTCAGTTGGGCCTGGGCTGGACCCGCCGGGCTCAACGGGTTAACCTGCTATTGCACCTTCTTTTACTTCACAGCTTCGTCTTTAAACGTCTTTATTTTTCTCCTCATCTTGAGCCCATCCTTTCTTCTCTGTTTTCCTAAGCTCTCTCTTTTTCTTGTCTTCCTTCTCATCCCCCTCTCCGTCTCATCCATCAGTCCGCTCATCCATCTCTCCAGATCGGCCCTCGGCTCTACAGAGAGACACAGTTACAATCAGGCTTATTTGTCTCTCTTACCAGCCTGCCATCCCTCTCTCCCTCTCCTTTATTATCCCTCCATCTTTAATCTAGCCTATCCCCTCCTGCTCCCGTCTCCTAAACTATCCTTATGTTTCATCCTGAAGGGGTCTGGGTCTCAATCCTGCTCTCCCTTTTAACTTTAACCTACTAATTACCTGGTTTATATAAAGAAATATTCATTGTTTGTTCCATTTATTTCTCTGCACTATTTAAAGGTTACTAGCAATATTTCACAACAGATTTAAACATTTAAGGAAGTTCAGTTTTTTGCTGTACTATATCTTATAAAAGGGTTCATTTTAATTCGGGGTGTTAATCCAGATTATCCACATCAATTCAGTTCGATTCCCAGTTCAATCCGATTGCTTTTTGATTCAGTTAAAATAATCTGGGCCTTTTCAGAAGAACTGATGTTTGTAAATAGAAACTAACATTAACTTGATGCAATGTGAATATTTAAATTAAGAAATTAAATTAATTGTCGCCTTTTAATCTAACAGTTCAAATATTTTCAAACTGCAGGGTAGAAGAAACTCAAGATATTCACATTGTTACCTTTGACTGTCTCAATTTTATTTAGCAAATGTTTAAAAAAGTTGACCAATTTAATAGTTGTATGGATTGATATTGGGCCTTTAAAGGGTACATATATTTAAATAGATTTATTTTTCACCTAGCCTTAATTTATTTCTGTAGAAATTTTTCCCAATAAAATCATAAAGTTTGATGCACCTTTAAACCATTGTTCAAAGCAGTGGTCCCTAAACTACGGCCCGTGGGCCGGATCCGGCCCGCCTCCAAATTTGTTCCGGCCCCCTGAACAATACCAGAGAGTATTTTCATATAAGTGTATTTTTTTTTTTTTTTTTTTTTGTATTTGATAATAAAGTTGGACATTTGCAAATAAATGTTCTTTAATTATGAAGTTTTTTCATTATTAACTATTAGTAACTATTTCATACACACATATATCGTGACAATGTTCCACCCTTTTGGGGTCTGTGCCCCTATCTGGCAACCCCCACCATAAAATCTTAAACCCGCCCCTCTCAAATAGATACGGAAGAAGATTAGGGCCATTCAAAAAAATGAAAATAATAGTCTATTCAATTCTGACTTTATTCTCAGAATTCTGAGGAAAAAAGTCAGAATTGAATAGTCTTTTTTTTTTCCTTTTGAATGGCCCTAATCCTCTTCCATAAAGGGAGAACGGAATAATGGCGAAAAGATTAGGTAAGAGAAAATTTGATTCAGAATGCAGGGCATTTAACCTGAATTGGACAAACGGTTATTTTTTTGTTCAATGCAAAGAAAAGGCTTTCTGTCTCATCTGTCAAGAGGCGGTGGCAGTATTCAAAGAATATAACCTGCAGAGACACTCGTACAGACATAAATCTCGTCATAAATTTAGGAACTCTTGCAATCGTCACATTTTTTCTGTTACAAACCCTATCAGCGAAGGGAAAAGTTATGTGGCCCTCACCTGAAAAAGTTTGGGGACCCCTGGTTTAAAGCATTAAAAGTCTTTATTTTAGTTGTTAGAATTATACAGGATTTTCTACATGTTTCTATAAAGAAATAATTAATGAAACCCTTCTCCTTTTTCTGCAATCACAACTAGAAGGCTAAATGAACAACTGTCAGAAATCTCTGTCTAAACATCAGTTTCTATGTCTTTTCTCAGAGTCTCAGCTACATTTAAGTCTGGGTGCATGTATGAAAGCTTCCTCTTCCCCATGTTTCCTCTGTCCTGCAAACAGGAGTTCATTTAAACAGATTTTCTCTACCTGAGCTGTAGGTCTCTGCAGCCCCTCCAGAGTTTCTTCTTCTCTGATTACTTCTCTTATTTTACTGACTGTCATCTGTGTCTTTGTAAACATTTGGTCCATTCTCCATTTTTAGTTAAGCGATCAACTATTATAGTTAGATTTTTTTAAAGCTTTTTAGCTGAAACAAATGTAGTTTTTTCTTAATAAAAAACATAAGAAATGCCCTTAAAAGCGTAAAATAAATGTAAATCCCTTTAATGTGCCTCAGTAGGGAAATTCTTTTGCTGCATTTTAACCCATTTTCTTGGGGAGCAGTGGCCTGCCACTGTGCAGCGCCCAGGGAGCAGCGTCAGGGGGGTCTTACTCAGGGATCCAAAGTACAGGCTGTGGGGATCAAACCAGGCACTTGCAACCTTTTAAGAGCACAAGCGCACTGCTCTGACCACTAGGCCAACAGTCCCCAAATACAGACCTCCCCACTCATTGTATGTAGGAGAACTTGTGCAGTACCGAACATAATTTCCAAACACAATGTGAGCAGATGTTTAAACTAATGTGTTTTAGTTGACAGTGAACAACCAAAACGTGAAGGATTGGGGCTTATAGAGAAGTGTTGGTAAATGGCGATGCAGCACGATAAATTCTATTTGAAATTACCTAGATGTGATGTAGCACAGAAAGTTTGATGATCCTGTTAGGTGCTAATTCAGTTCAATTTGATTCAGATCAATTTTAAATATAGTTTTCTTGTCCCAGATCCAGTAGGGCTGTCAGCTGCCTTGGTGACAATAGCTTGTTTGAATTGTGTTGCTGACTTTGCAGCAATCCCTCACACTGAGCATGCATCCTGTCGACTTAAAAAAATATATATGAGCGCTGAGAGTTGATATTATAGGAAGAAAAGGTTTTATTTTTCTCTGCAGAGGAGAACACACGCCAGCCTAAATGCAGTTCAGTGATGTTCTGAGACGGCAACATTCTCACCCCTCCATAAAAAGGGGACTACACACACACACACACACACACATTTAGCTCTTCAAAGGACAGAGATAACAATTGTTTCCTGTTCACACCAGGACGTGAGAATCCTGACTTCCTTTCAAACCTCCTTCCACTTACAAAAAGGCCAAACAAAAATATCATTCCACAATCCCCACAGCCTCCACCGTGGGTTCCTTTATCAGATGCAGTTTTAACCTATATGGGAACAGAGCTCTGATGTTTGGGTGATCGTTTTACAACCTAACCCTGCTCTAAATGTAAGGGTTTCCTGCTCCTCATGATGCCGTTTGTTCTCCAATAAACTTCTGAGGCCAGAAACAAACAACCACATTTATACAGAGATGAAGCGATCAGCTGATTTACTGATAAACTGACAACTAAGGTTAGTTTTTATGCATGGGGTATTGGAGTAATGGGGGAGAAACCTGTCCTTCCAATTCACAATTATGCACTTATCTGTGTTACTTTATCACATAATATCCAAGATAAAAACGCTGAAAAATTCTGTAAAATGACAAAATGTTAAAAAGATTCCACCAGTGAAGGCTTTTAGAGGCACTGCATGATGATGGGATGGTTTTATGTTTTCCAAATTCTCCTCAGAGATGTTAAAGGTTCAATAACGGCCCTCTGTGCTCTTTCCAAATCCTTTTTACTGTCTCATTTGTTTTGTTTTCCCTTGAACCTCATTTCTATTTTCCAGGAAGCTTGATTCCTCCTGATTGTTTCTTCCTCTTTTAAATTATTTCTTTTCCTTTGCCCCTTTTCACTTGATTTTAAGCATAATCTGATGCTTTCATCATTTTCTGAACACGCCTCCCACTCGTTGCCTTACCTCTTTTTTTATTACTTCCTCCTTCCCATCCATTCCAGGCATTATTCTAATCACATCTTTATCCTGTTTTTTTTTTATTCCCCCCTCGCCTTCTCTTTTTTTCCAACCCTTTTCCCCTCTCGTCGTGCTCCCCTCTCCTCCCTCTGCAGTCATATCCAGAGGGGATAATGAACAAAGGTTATTGAACAGTAGAAATAATGAAATAAAATCGAGCACAAACCCACCCAGAACAAAACGCATTTCTCATTTTCTTCCTGTAAAAGTTATGAATTTTTTATGTTTCAATCTCCAGCTTTAATGAAATAGTTTTTTAGATGCGACACATCATACATTTTCATAACGGGAATTTGCTCTGACATTTTCAATATGTTGTTTCATGTGGTGTGCTGTGCATATGTAATGGCTTTATGAACACCTGAGAACGTGTGTGGGGTCTGCATGTATGTGTGTCTGCTGGTTGGCATTTACTTTGACACTTTGTTTTTAATTTGTACATTTCCAGGCTCCTGTTCGAGATGCATTTATGCATATTTAACTAAGACTCTCTTTTTGTTTTTTCTTTCCAGTGTCTTGAATCGGACTCCGGTTCATCTGATACATGAGATCATCCTGGTGGACGACTTTAGCAACAACGGTGAGTCTCAGCTGCACACAGACACTCAGAACCATAGAGACACATGTTGCAGGATTCTTCCAGGTCAGAGATAACAGAGATGAGACCTACATAGCAGGTCACATGGAGAAATATGTCCACAGCAGCTGGGTTTTAGTTTGGAGATTAAAACGCTTCAAAGTGTTCATGCTCACATCTTCAGAAACACACAACATCTGAGCGTAAAGCACTGAAGAAACATCCAGAATTATACAGAAATAACTGTTAGCACCAAATTAGTAATAAAATAATTTATTGATTTAAATCAGTTTTACTTAAATCGAACATCAGTTTATGGAAACTCAACCATGACTCTGACATATTGTAGATATGTAAAATCAATCAATGAAACGGCTTTGAAATAACAAATATATGAAAAGAAGAATAGCTGAACTGTAATTGCTGTACTTCTTGCGGAGGATGAGGAGAGCCTACCTGCCCCCACCCATCCTCACCACCTTCTACAGAGGCACCATAGAGAGCGTTCTGACCAGCTGTCTCACTGTGTGGTGTGGAGGCTGCAGCGCCTCAGACTGGAAGAAGGTGAGAAGAGTGGTGAGAACTGCAGAGAAGATAATTGGGGCTCCTCTTCTCTCAATTAAAGACATTTCAGCTGCTTGTCCCGAGCCCGTAACATCTTAAATGACCCCTCACACCCCCACCATGGACTGTTCTCCCTGCTGCCCTCTGGAAAGAGACTTAGAAGCATCCAATGCAGGTTTCAATTCAATTCAGTTTATTATTATAGCACCAATTCACAACACGTTCATCTCAAGGAACTTTACAATTTATCAGATCATCCAGTCAAATTTATTCAAAGTTTTCTAAGTAAAACCAGTTGGTCACATCAACTCATTGACTCATTGACTCGAAGGCAATCCCTCACACTAAGCATGCTTTTAGCGACAGTGGAGAGGGAAAACTCCCTTTTAACAGGAAGAAACTTCCACCAAACCAGGCTCAGTGTGAGCGGCCATCTGCTGAGGCCGACTGGGGTTCAAGGAGACAGAAGCAGAGATACAAAAAGCAACTGTAAAAGGCGGGAAAACACACAGCCAGGCAGACGAGCTCTGAGCCAGCTCCCACGTCAGAAGATAAAGAGAACACACTCGGCCAGTCACAGTCAGAGAAACAGGTCTACACTGGAAAAATAGGCCGATCCCTAACATCTATAAACAAAGGTGTTGACGCCACAGCTGATATTTCTCTCTAGGATGGTGTCACAGCCAAACAGCAACAGACGAGGCGAAGCTACTATTAGAAAAAGCAGAGAGAGCAGAACGTCAGAGATTAAACTAACAGATTCTGCAGAGTGGAAGAATAGAGATAGAATGAAACAAATTGATGAAAAAGGGGTCCCTATGTCCTCCAGAAGTCTAAGCCTATAGCAGCATAACTATAGAGATAGCTCAGGATAACCTGAGTCACTCTAACTATAAGCTTTATCAGAAAAGAAAGTTTTAAGTCTAGCCTTAAAAGTAGACAGGGTGTCTGCCTCACGGACTAAAACTGTTAGTTGGTTCCACAGGAGAGGAGCCTGATAACTAAAAGATCTGCCTCCAGAACAGCAGATTCCAGAACAGTTTCTTTCCCACTGCTATTAGACTGCTGAATGTTATAAAAAATTAGGTTATAAAATAAAAAAGAATAAAAAGAAATAAAAACCCTGAATGTTCGAACTGTAACTATACAGTCGTATGTTTACATTATCACTGCTGCTTACCTTTATCAAAGCTGTACTTTAAAAAATAATAAAAATAATGAAAATGTCTTGAGAGCTGCACTGAATGAAATATCTTTTTATATATTCTTGTGTGTACAAAATGAGAAATAAAGTCTAAGTCTGTATATTTTTTATCTCCCATAGAACATGCATTTAAAATCAGATGGTACTAATTTAAAATAAATTGCTCATTAACTGATTTTAAATCACTTCTACATTTATATTCATGTTTCTAGTGCTGGGTATTAATTAGAGATAGATCGACTCATCAGCCCACCAATGTTTATGGCTGATAATTTCATCTTTTTTATGCATTCTTTGGTCGATACATTAGTGCATTCAGCAGCCTTTCCTTAAAATCATGTGCAGAGCTTTCATTAATGGTAGAGATCGAGCGATGCAGGTTTTTTAGGGCCAATGCCTCAACAATTATTTTGACATCAGTCTAATGAATCCCTGATGTTCTGCTGGTGTTCTGATTGAGGAGGATTTATGAAGCCAGTTTGATTTCAAACTTAGATATAAGCGTCACCTGACTAAAGAAAGCGTCTCTTTATTTCAGTTCAGGCTGGGATTTACTGTAATAATCACCAAAATAATGTACAGCTGTTTAAATTCCACTGATATCTTTCCACTAAGCACAGATCTGACATCCTGCGTCACAGTCAGCATATCGGCATCACGCGGTTCCTGGAGTATTTTTAAAGTTTTAAGATTCAATATTGTTTGCTTTGAAAATGTTTTATATTTTAATGTTTACTTATTATAAACTGATGGCTAAGTATATTGTCTTTTAAAACATTTAAATATTTTCTGTTTCCATCACAGTAACAACTTTCTTCTATAACAGCGATCTGATAAGGATTTTTAAGTAATAATAAATCATTTTTGGACAGATTTTGAGGTGTAGAAATTATACAATTTACAAAGAGTTTGAAAAAAAATTATTATTGAAAGTTGTAGGACTTTATTTTTAAACAAACGAATGTCTTCTTTAACAGAGAACATTTATTAATTATATATATAGTCTATCAATATTAAACCTATCAGCATTGGTTTTTAAACGTGGAAAATTGTAGTTATTTAGTTTAAGCTAGTTATAAGTTATAAAAAAAAAACACCATGATAGACGGCAGGCAGCTTTATTAAATCTGTTGTTATCATCACCCTACATGAATATTAATGTCTTCTGGTGATGCAATTAAATTAAACAAAGTTAATGATTTCAGATTTAATTTCTAACAGAAAGAACAATGAGATCCAATTAAAAGCTGAAGCACCTGAATTAAACCAAAAGCTTTGCTTTAAACAAACTAAGATCCTCTTTCCATGAACCAATTAGTTCCAGATCCTGAAAATTATTTCAGATGTTATTATCATCACCCCGGAATTTTGATTAGAGAAAAAATAAAGTAAAAAGAAGATCTAAAGTTAAGCTAAAACATGAATGTGAAAACAACTAAGGAGGTTTTCTCAGTATTCTGGGAGCAGCTTCCATCTGTTGATGTCATTTCGTACGTTTCCTGAGTCCTTAGTCACCGTGCTGCCAGGCGCTCAGGACGGATGGAGACATGAAGGAGGCAGCAGGAGTGAGAATCGGAGTGATGGAGGTTAAATACTGCCACATTTAGATTGTGAGGTAATTATAGAGACAGATGAGGCCAGAGAAAAGATGTAATCAGGAATGGGGACTGATGTTCTGCACACAACCAAAGATGGAAGACGTGCAAAATAAACAGTGAGCTGGATTAAACAGACAGACATTAAACACAGAACTTTAATCTGGGGTATAGTTTTAAAAATATTAACCAATATAATTAGCAGCTTAGCAAAGTCGACCGTTTTACTTTCAGCAGACTGTAAATGTGGAGTCTGATGAATTTTAGGTCTATCTAGGGGAACGATTCCAATGATTCTGATAATGTACGTCAAAATGCATCAGGAAGCTCACCGTCAGCTAAACGGCTCCCAGACACGCGTCCAGTTTATCAAGCAGATCTCTCTGAATGTTTGTCCCGCTGCTGAGGAGTGTTTTAGGGAACTGTTAATACCCCTGCAGTGCATCAAAGACAGACGTCACATGGACCGCTACATCCCGCTTCCCTAGAGGATTCCTCACATTTATAATGTTTTGGTTTATTTTTATTTGTCTTCTTCTTACTTTCAGAAAGCGACTGCCAGCTTCTCACCAAGCTGCCTAAAGTCAAATGTCTTCGCAACAACAAGAGAGAAGGTATGGCAACATTTTTAAGACTTTATTATTTGATTCCTGGTGTTTCTGTGTTTGCATGAGCCTCATTTTCATCAGTATAGAATTAGAATCAAACTTTATTTATCCCATTACTCCTTCAGGGAAAATCTGGTTATATAGAGTACAAAGAGTTAAAGCAAGATGCCATTTTTTATATATTTTTTCTATATTCTTTATATCGAACATGCAAGAGAAAAACAAAAAAACAATAAAACAATGTTTAAAGACATTGGAGAGAAAAATAACAAACAAGGTACCCTTCTTTCCTGAGTTAATATACCTCTATTACATGTGCGAAAAGGAGTAGGAAGAAGTAAAACTTATGTACTCCTACCCCTTTAATTCTTGTATTTCTTCAATTTACAATATTTCTAATTATGTTGCTATATATATCCATATATATACATACCTACCTACACATATACCAACATAAATATGTATACACATATACCTTCATACATATATACAAATAAACAAAACAAAAAACACAAACAAAACTTTCTTCAATGCTTCTCTATACCTTTTGAAAATAATTTCTTTGTACATTTTTTTGAAAAGGAATATGTTTGGGCATTGCTTTGGGTTCTCATTTAGTTTGTTCCACAATTTAACTCCGCAAATTGATAAACATAATCTTTTTCTTGTTGTTCTAGAAAAAGATTGTGTTTATCAATTTGCAGAGTTAAATTGTGGAACAAACTAAATGAGAACCTAAATCAATGCCCAAACATATTCCTTTTTTTTTTTTTTTTAATGAGTATTTTAAAGATAAACATACAACAAACAGTATAAAAAGAGTGTATATAGTACAAAAAAGCAGTAAAAAAGAGAAAAAAAAGTAGTAATGTCTTGGAATATGTTTCCCTTGGATGTAAAAATATCTGCACTGTAGAGAGATTATACTGTAGTTGACTTGGTTTATTGCACTTGCACAGAGATGTACTGACCTTATAAATAAGTTTAAAAAAACACAGTGGGGGTTATGAATGTTTTCCTTTTAAGCAGCCAAATTTGGCTTCAAAAGGCCTTGAAAACTAGCAAAACCACCTAAAAATACAGAAAATCAATAAGTTATTGAACTCTATGGGTCATTTGATGCTAAAGGAAGAAGTAATGAGATTCATCAAAATGTCTGTCAACATGTTGGTTTGATTGAACTGATACAACTTACATCTGGACAACTTTAAAGTTGTGTTTTTACATAAAAAGTCTAAAAAAATATTTATGGAGGAAAATATCTCCAAGTCTAAAGCAGCCAAATATCTCTTCTCTCCATGGTTTCAACGCTAAATACTGAAGACGGTTATTGGATGTGATGCGTTCACTGACAGGAAAAGCAACAGTTTTTTTTTGTTTTGGGGCCTCACCTCATTCCACCTGTCAAAACCAAACAGGAAATTATTTAATTTTAGCCATCAGATGAATTTTAAATCAATCTCTGGAAGCAAGATTTCTATGTGCGTCTAAAGCCTCTCATCCCTACTAAAAAATATATTAATTTTAAAATCAGAATATATAAAAAAAAACAGCCTTGTGTTAATGCATTTATAGTAGATGAGGATGTTCTCCTGATTTCACAGGGTAATATCATCATGTCTGTTTGCTCTGCTTGTCACTTTTGTGTAACATCTAGTCCCAGCTGCCTTCATGCATTAAATATAGAATAAATAAATTGAAAAAAGAAACGTAAATTAACTTGACAACCTGACAAAATGATGAGGTCATGAGCACTCTGGCATTTACGAGCCACAAAAAAAGGTTTAAGATGTGTTTTTTTTATCCCTCTAACAGATTATCCTGCAGGTTTGCAGACGGCTTTCAAGGTGTTCAACATGCTGGTATTAAAGGCTCAGGGAATGAGAGCAGTTTGGTATTTGATATTTTTATTTTATTTATACCCACTGCAGAGGCGGCATGCTTTTAAAAAATATTTCTGGCATCTATGTACATTTTGCCTTTAAATGTTAATTGCCAACATTTTACCTTTCAGAGTGAGGTTGGGGGTTTTCAGTCTAATAATGCCAACCCAGTATGAACAATCAGCAAAGTCTCTGACTCAAACATTTCTTATTAATTTTACGACAGTTTGGTTCTCTTGGATAAGCAACCTAAAGAGCTCCTAAATAGGCACCGAATGAATGAATGAATAAATGAATGAATGAGTTGGATTATCACAAAGTTAAATGTTTGAATAGTATTCTAAAATCTGCTTTTCAGTTTTGCCCATTAAATGTGCAAACTTCTGTCTCCTTGAACCCCAGTGGGCCTCAGCAGATGGCCGCTCACACTGAGCCTGGTTCTGCTGGAGGTTTCTTCCTGTTAAAAGGGAGTTTTTCCTCTCCACTGTCGCTACAAGCATGCTTAGTGTGAGGGATTGCTGAAGAGTCATTGAGTCGATGCAATCAACTGGTTTTCCTTAGATAGAAAAACTTTGAATCAATTTGACTGGATGATCTGATTGAACTGTAAAGTGCCTTTAGATGAAATGTGAATTGGCGCTATAGAAATAAACTGAATTAAATTTAATTAGAACTGAATTGAGTTAGAACATACAGTTTAATTTTGATCATTAGTTATTATTTCATAGTAAAGGTGAGCTAATGCTAGTTACAGTATATTGCTTTATTGAAGAAGTTAGCCCTGTACATGCAGCAGCTGTAGATTTATATTATTAAAATTAGATGCACAGGTCTTGCTCTAAGAAAGACAAATTGCCTTTTAACTAAAATATTCTGAAAAACTTGGAAGTTCATGGTCAGCTGAGTGGCTGCAAAACAAGACTAAACAGTCAACCTTCTACCATCGTTTCACCGCTGGTGAGATGTTTATGCTGAGATGCTGTGTGTGTTTTTCTCCTATCGTATCATTCTGTATCCTGGCCAAACCTCTCTGGTCTCTGTTGCATGGTTCTGGGTTTTAGCTCTAAAGTAGCTTCACATGTCTTGCTCCTACTGTCCTCTATGCAGAAAATATTTTCTTCTGGGAAACCCTTTTAAACAAACCAAGCTGTTTTCTGTCTGATCTGGAGCTCTTGTTTACAGTAGTAGCCATTCAAGATTTCCCCACTTTCCTTGATGGGCCCTTGGCTGGTTGCCTACAATTCCTTTTTAAACATCAATTTTTGTACAAAAATATTCTTTCTGTCATGATTTGTGGACATGTAGAACTAAAGAGAGGCGTCATCTCCCTGTAATTCAGTCAAAGGTTGGACTCAGAGTAAAAAATAGGCATGCTGAGGAGAAGGAGGGGGGTCACTCCATTGGCTGGAAGTTGGAGGGGTTTCTGCTGGTAGTTGCATGGAAGTGGGCTGCCATTCAGCGTGCGTTTGGGGGGGATTAGAAAGCCATTTTGAATGGCTGCTACTGTAATAGTTCATCATGCATTTTTTCTCATTGTTCTAAATATATATCCTGATTGAAAAGCGAAGCAGAAATTTACAACATAAATTCACTGATGACGTCTTTCCAAATTGCCATCATAATGACCCGCCCCCCAATGCTGGTAAGTGTCATCACTACCTGTTAGTATCATTAGCACCCCTCCTCTTCAGCTCTATTGAGGCAGTGATGGTGTACTTCATTTTTTTTTTTTATCTTTTATCAAATGCTTCATTTGGAATGACGTTGTAGATAAATGCAGCAAACCGTCTCTCAGGAACCACTAAAACCTACGGCTGATGAGAAATCAATTAAAAAAACACCCTAAAATTGAAGGAATAATAGAGCATAAAAGCCCCATGACAGCGATTATTCAGACAGTGAGATGACATAAGCCTGAAGTTATTCAAATCTACCGGAAATGTGTTGTGATGGAAGAACAAAGCGCAGTTCTGGTTCTGCTGTTTTGCAATAACAGAACCAAGTGTTTGAAGAATTAGACATTCTCTGGTGGATGTCCCCTGGAAAGAGAAAAGCTGCTACCTGAGATCACAAAGGAGTTTTCTCCAAGGGAAAAGAAGAAGAAAACACTTAAAAGGCACTTTAACCATGCTTGTTGAGGCAGTGCCATTTGAACTCCCATTACAACTGCAAAATAATAGTGTTCACTTCACTAAAGTGTCCCTGGCCCCGTCTGAACCCTCCTCTCCATTTCCATTCATTGTTTGGTCGACATCATCGGTTTTCCATCTTCTTTCCAGCTCGGTCATGTTCTCCTGTAGCTGCTGTTCTACCTTCAGCTCACCTCTTTGTCTCCGTGACAAACCCTTGTGCTTCATGTTGCCGCTGAAGGATTTCATTATGGCGCAATCATGCAGACACACGGGAGCAGGTTTCATCAGTCTGGCTTGTTAATAGTTTATGGCTTTAGGCTTTTCAACTTGATTATCTTTTTAATGGTCATAAAAACACAGCAGTCTGGTACTGGTGCATCTTCTCTATCAACCACAGATGGTTTGTTCCTGAGAGGACATTTGCTGGCACCATAAATCATGTAGCTCTTTGCTTTTAAAAAAAAAACCTTAACCTAATCCAAATTATGGAAGTGATGCCAGAGCTTGAAGAAGAGGGAATAACGAAAAGAAGAAAAATTAAATATTAAATTAGATTAGTGATCTCTTTGGCATTTCATTCATCAGATTGGCTGCCAGGACTTTGAGATTAGATCGGAAAATAAACTCTTAATGAAGTTGGTGTCCAAGGTTTTGTTCAAAAGGAGACTATGTCTAAGTTAAATGAATAATTATGTTTGTGTTATTTGAGGTTTTGATTCATTTTTATGCAAAATATTAAACTTTGTTAAATGGTTTAAAAATATAAAGCCTTGTTTTTATCTATATGGGTTGAGAAAAAAGGTGACCGCTGTCAGATTATCTCATCCAGGCCTGAGCAGCTGTTATCTGTTGCAAGAAATGTTCTGATGCATCTCAAATAATTCAGGAACAAAGAAAACCTAAAACAAAGTTGTTGTTTTTTATTATTGTTTTGTCTCCTTTTTTTTTTTGGTTGAATTTGCATGTTTTCTAAGCCATAACAAGGCTTTTG